CCCTGAGAAGAGCCTTGGGCTAGCTGCGGGCAGGCTGGAGGTGAGTGTCTTCGCATTTCTCTCCCAATTCCCGGGTGGGAGAATCAAGGCTTTCTCAGGCCGCAGGAGGCAGTGGCAGGAACTCAGGGAGGGCGACAACCCTGTGGCCAGGAAGTGGGAGGGAGCCCATTCCCCAGAGCAGGCGCCCTCCTGCCTCTGGGCACCTGAGGCAGGAAGGGGAACTGCCCTCGGGGCTGGGGCTGGCTGGCACACTGCACCCTGCTGGCGGGGAGGGGGAACAGACCCCACAGCCCGGGGGGGGGGGGGGGGGGGGCCTTCCTGAAGATGGGCCTGGGGTGGCAGTGATAGTTCATCTGTCAGTCGGGTGCTTGAGGCTCAGCTGCATCAAAGGCCCCCCCGCAAGCCCCCTGCTGGAGGGGAGAACGGTGCAGGGTTCTGGCCTTGCCTGGCTTGTGGCCAACCTCAGTTCCACGTACTTTATAGGGTCCTTTGAGCACGGCTGGCTGTCACCCTCCAAAAAACGAACAAAAGGGGCTGGAGCGATAGCACAGTGGGAGGGCGTTTGCCTTGCACGCAGCTGATCTGGGTTCGATCCCTGGCATCCCATAGGGTCTCCCAGCACTGTCAGGAGTAATTTCTGAGTGCAGAGTCACTAGGAACCCCTGAACATCTCTGGGTGTGAACCAAAAAGCAAAAGAAAGAAACAAAAAAGAACGAAACCCCCTCAAAACCTCAGTGCAAAAATTTTGGGAAAAGAATTAGAGTTAGGGTCCCTATGCTGTGTGTGTGTGGGGGGGGGGGGGGGGGGAGGCAGCTCCTCCTCCCACTGTTCCCTTCATGAGGTCTCTGGGCATGGAAGTTGTTCCAGGCCAGGAAGTTGTTCCGGGCCAGGTGGGCTCTGATAACACAGCCTGGGAAACAGTGCTCAAGGCCCAGCCCCAGGGCGCCGCAATCAAATGCGCCTCTTCCAGGAACACTGTAGCTCACTGGCCTGAACACAGGGACAACGAGGTCACAGGAACCTGCTCGGGCCAAAGCATGCTCAGCCCACAGTGCTTTCTCTCTGGGCCGGTTTTCATTTTCTGTTTATAATGGATGGCCCAGATTTCAAAGTTTTTCAATTTTTACAGTATTGGAAAAGCGGTGCAGTTCCAGAGGAACCATACTTGGAGCCTTGGCCTTTAAAATTTATGCTTTTGTTTTTCCTTTTTCTTTGGAGCTAGTGTGGGCAGTGCTTGGCAGGACCCCTCGCCTGGGCTGAGGAGCTGCTGCTGGCTGTGTTCAAGGGGATGGGGGCACATTGGGGTTAAAATTAGGTCTCCCCCAGCTGTGTTTAGCTGACTCCTGGCTCTGAGCTCAGGGATCACTCCTGAGTGCTCAGAGGACATAAGGCAGTACCAGGAATCAAACACGGGGCAACAGCATGCAAGTCCTAGCCCTCTTCACTCGCCCTCATTAAAAAAATAAGGCCTTTGGTCTTGTTTTAAAAAAGAACTCCTGGCTGGCGGGGCTGGAGCAGTAGCACAGCGGGTAGGGTGTTTGCCTTGCACTTGGCCTACCCGGGGTTCTATTCCCAGCATCCCATATGGTCCCTGAGCACCGCCAGGAGTAACTCCTGAGTGCAGAACCAGGAGTAACCCCTGTGAATCGCCAGGTGTGACCCAAAAAGTCAAAAAAGAAAAAAGAAAAAAAAATAAAGAACTCTTCGGGCTGGAGAGATAGCACAGCGGGTAGGGTGTTTGCCTTGCACACGGCCGACCCGGGTTTGATTCCCAGCATCCCAAGTGGTGCCCTGAGTACTGCCAGGAGTAATTCCTCAGTGCAGAGCCAAGAGTAACCCCTGTGCATCGCTGGGTGTGACCCAAAAAAGCAAAAAAAAAAAAACCAAAAACAAAACTCCTTTCCAAGATTGGTGACCTGTGGTTAAATACTCCCAGTGGGGAAACACCCTGAGCTCCAGATCACAGTGTAAACAGCCCCTATGTGGTGCCAGAATTTTGGCTGATAGTGTGGACTTTATTGGGAGATAATCCGTGCAGGTGTGAGCCCCGGTTAGCGCCAGGCACCAGCCACTTTGGGCACAAAGTGCAGGTGCCGGATTCTATCCTTGTACCAAATGGTCCCCTGAGCACTGCTGTGAGACCAGGGAACGCAGCCGGGAGGACTCACGGCAGCAGTCCAGAGATGGGGATGGCACAACTTTGCCTCCATTGCGAGTCTCCCTCCTCCACTCACTGGCTCTGTGGCCCAGACAAGCTGATTTTCTCCTCTATTCCATTTTTGTAAAACCAAGGATAATTTTGTATATGAATTCCTGGCACTGGAAAACTAGTATAGCAGGTAGGGTGCTTGCCTTGCACACGGTTGAACCTAGTTAAGATCCCTGGTGCCCTATTTGATCCCCTGAGCCCCTCTGGGAGTGATGCCTGAGCAAAGAACCAGGAGTAAACCTTGAGTATTGCCAGATTCAGGCCCGCCATGACCCCCCGACTCCTGCCCCGCCAAATAAAAAAAAATTCCTATGGCAAGAACTGAAACAGACTTAAAATTTGCTAAGCATTATATATTAGGAGTTATTACTTTTTTCCTTGATAGTTATTTCCTTCCTAGTACTGGTGGTGTGGGCTGTACACTGGGTTGTGTTTTGTGAATCTGATGATGTGTGGCAGTGCCAGGAATCAGACTCATGGCAGGCAGGGCAGGTGACCAGTCGGGACCCTAGAGCTTCCTAGTTTTCCACCCGGGACTGACTTCAAAGCCAAGCTCTAGAGGAAGTAGTGAGCTGTTCTGCGTTCCCCTCGCTGGCTTCCACCAAAACACCAAAGATTTCATTCATTTCCCCTCCCTTTCTGTGGTTGCTAAGTGCAGGCTGGCACCCTTGGTTGCAGTGTGCTGGAGATGGTGCGCTTTCTTGTGGCAGTGGGATCCCCCACAGAGCCGCTGCAATTACACGGTGCAGGGATCAGGTTTACCATCCTTCTGCACTAGGTATGAACTCTAACCACTAAGCTATCCCTGGGCATTCATGCATTTGACATGCATCAGTTCATGCCTTTAACAAAGAATTTCCAGTACTACTCACTAGGCTTTGCAGGAGGCACCAGGAACCCAGCAGAGAAAGCTGTCATCGTGCCTGGGAGGGAGCCCAGACAATAAACTCCCAAGGAAACTAATACTCCCCCCCCCCAACACACACACGGGGGGGGGGGGGGAGTGGATGTGTGTGGGATAAAGGCTCAGGGTGATGTGAAAAGGGGTCTCTGAGTGCACCTCTCATGGGTGGGGCGGGGAAGACTTAAGAGAGGGATAAAGGGGGACGGGCAAGGCAAGGAGTCAGGCATGGGGCTGGAGTGATAGTACAAGGAGTAGGGCATTTGCCTTGTACTCGGCTGACCTGGGTTCGATCCTCGGCATCCCATGTGGTCCCCAAGTACCACCAGGAATAATTCCTGAGTGCAGAGCCAGGAGTAACCCCTGAGCATTGCTGGGTGTGACCCAAAAACCAAAAAAAAAAAAAAAGAAGAAAAGAAAAAAAAGTCAGGTCATGCTCTTGACTAATATTCATCCCTTATCACTCCATCGTGCCCTGTGCCACTTGGTTGGGAAACACAAGGGTCTTGTTCTGCCATGCTCTGCCTCATGCAATCCGGTTGTCCCTTGCCACCAAGGGGCCCCACAGTCTGTCTCAGAGCTAACCGTGTGCAGCTCCTCAGGGAGTTCTCCACAGATGGGAGAGCAGTGTGCAGACCACGGTGGGTCCCCAGCCTCTCCCTGGTCACAGTCCCTGGGGCCGGCCGTGGGTTTCCTCTTCTCTCAGTCCCGGGCGTGTTGGAGAGTTAACAATTGCAAAATAACTTGATTGCTCACAAGAATCCCCATGGGCTCTTGTTAAACCCCGGGCCCCCCCAAGCCAGAGCTCTCTAATTAGAATCTCCAGAGACGATTCTGAACACCATCAGTTCAGCTGGGGGCTATGGCGTCATTGCAAAAAGACTTTTTTATTTATTTATTTTTCAGAGGTGGAGATGAGTTATAAAGTGCCAGGGGAACACGTAAGGAAGAACCTGAAGTCATTGTTTTTGTTCTAAGCCCGGCACCCACCAAATTCTGCCCGTAGCGACCCATTTGCGGATCACGCGAAACCTGAGCACCACTGAGGGAAACTTTCCCTTGGTGGTCGCGACCTTCTCCTGTCAGGCCGCCTTCGCCATCACCTTTAAGTTCGTTAAGTTGAAGTTAGGAAGTTAGTCCGAAGTAACAGAGGGGGCTGGAGAGGGGGTCCGAGGCACCACTGAGGGGTGGTCGGCTTCATCGAGTTCCTCCCCCAAGGCCGTCCCGCTCCCCTGTGGCGCCCCAAGTCTCTTCTCGCAGCCCCGTGTGGTGACAGAAGCCCCGAAAAACTCCGGGTTCCCGGCCGGTTAACGCCTGGGCACTGCCCACAGCGAGGTCGGGGATACACGCGACCGTCTCAACCGGCCAGGCGGGCCTCGGGCACGTGGATCGGGGGCTGCCCGCGGGCTCAAGGGGGATCCCCGACGCGGGTGACGGGCGCTTGCCGGTCCCCGCACTTCCGGCGAGCTCAGGCGCCTCAGCGGGGGAAACGGAGGCACGCTCGTCTCTCCTCACGGCCGCCGGGGTGAGCTCAGGCCGGGCTGCGGGCCGGGCTCCACGTGCGGGCGGCACCGCGGAGGAACTCCCAAGTGGAGTTGGACCGGAACACGTTCCAGAACCCCCTCAGCCGCCGGCACACACCTTCCCGGCACCCGGGCGCCCGGCTCTGCGGCGCCAAAAGGCGTCCGTCCCACGGCGCAGGCGCAGGCGCAGCCCGGGCCGGCAACGGAGCGGCACCCGGGGGCCGCGCGCCAACGGCCCAATCGGCGCTGGCCTCGCACAAAGCGAGTCCCGCCCCCTCCGGGCGCCGCTGGCCGAACTTCCGTCCCCTCCCCGCAGGCGGGGCCCGCCCACTCTCGCCGCGCCCCGCCCCGCGCCGTTTTCTGTCAGCGGCTCGTGATTGGCTCGCGGGCCCGGAGTAAGCGCTGATTGGCCCGGGCGGAGTCACGAGGGGGCCGTCGTCGCCTTTCCACAGGCGATTACTGGGCAGGCTCAGTCTTTCGACACAGTCTCGAGCGCTAGCTGGCACCCCGGCGTACGTGCTCCGGGCTCTTCAGTCCCAGCGGCCGCCATCGACGTCGCTTGGGTTCCCTCTGGGCTCCTCTGCGCCACCCGCCCGCCGCACGCTCCGCCATTCTAAGCCGCCATCATGGTGAAGCTCGCCAAGGTAAGAGGCCTTGGCCGCGCCGGCGCGACGCCGCCGAGGCCTGCTTTCTGAGGAGCGCGCGCGGCGCTTGCGAGGAGGAGGAGAAGGAGGAGGAGGAGGAGGGCCTGCGCGCCGTCCCGGGCGCGTTCGGGGGCGCCATGCTGAGGGAAGTCTCGCGCGACTGGCGCGGAGGTCTCGCGGCTTTTGGCAGCCGGATGGCGCGGTGAAGCGCTGGGGCAGGTGCCGCGAGGGATTGGAGCGGCCGGGCCGAGCCCGCGCGGGGAGGGGGAAACTCGCGCCGCGGGGCGGACGGAGGAAGCCAAACTCCCGCGACCGGCGCGCGGGCCGGGGTTTCTGGGGGGGGGGCACGGTCCCGCCCCCTGACTGACGCACGTGTCCGGCCGCGCGGTCCGCCACGTGGGCCGCGCGCCGGGGCGACTCTGCCGAGGGACCGCGGTCCCGGAGCGCGGAGCGGCGGCCTCGCTGGGGTTCGTGGGTCCCGCGGGCCCACGGGGGCGCCCGGGCACGTGGTGGGCGCCGGAAGGAGGCCGGGCCGCGTGCGTCCCGCGCGCACATGGTGGCCCGGGAGGCGACTCCACGTGGCCCGCCAGGTCTGGGAGGGGCGGGGTGGTGACCCGGGCGGGGCCAGGCGGGACCGCCCCGACCAGCCGCGGGGGAAAAGCTGTGGGCCGGCCCGTGGCCACCTCGGAAGGCTTATTAAAGGGGGGCTAAGAGGTCGGTTGTCGGGCAAGCACGCCCCGCACAGGGGCTCCGGCTGGGCCGGCCGCAGAGATGGGTCGCGTGTTGCAGGCCATCGAGTACTGGGAAAACTAGTTTGAAAGGCGGTTCGGGTTCTGGAAGCGGGCGGAGGGTGGTGGGGAGATGGGGGGGGACTTACATCCCCAGAAGTTGCCTTTTCACCCCTCCTTTTGCTGGTAGGGCCCTTTGCCGGTTTTTTTTTTAAGTAGGGCTAAGTGGAACGGGAGATTGGCGATGGACGGCGAGTGCACCCCCGAAATGCCAGGTGTGTGTACCGAGCGAAATCATTCTTTTTCAGGCCAGTAAAAACCAAGGTGACACCAAGAAAATGGCTCCTCCCCCCAAGGAGGTAGAAGAAGACAGTGACGACGAGGAAATGTCCGACGATGAAGACGACGATAGCAGTGGAGAAGAGGAGGAGGTAATTGCCCATAATTGGGTGCAGCTTAAAGTGGAAGGATGTGAGGGTGCAGAAGGGTGCTTTAGCCAACCCCCCCCCCCCCATTGAGCAGTGGCAGTTGGATCAAGTTCATATACGGCCTCAGCCGCATATGGGTGTTTCACTGAGCGCTTGATTAGTCAGGTTTTAACATGAGAAAGGTCTTTGAGGAAAAGAATTTGAATGTCCTTTCCCGTGATCTCAACGGGCATATAGGATTGGGTGTTTTAAGCCGCTGCCTTTTTTTTTTTTAATTTACAACGTGTGCATCCCAGACAGTAACTTGCCTGCCTGTAGGATATTCATACATCGGAGTTTTCCCCTAGGAGATCCCTTTACCTAGTCTCCAGGGAGGGGTACGTGGCTCTCCATTCCATCATAGATGAGCCTGGTAGTTCTTGGTAGAGTGAGTGTGGCGTGAGTATTGCCACCTCTTCCTTTTTGACGCACCTTAGCAGTTTTTTTTAACCTAGACAAGTTAAACCACTATATTTGCTTAGGTTCCTGGATCAGGATTTGATGTAGTTTATTCCGGGCAGGGGCACACTGCGAGGTGCTCACAGCTCTACACTCCTGGAGGGAGTTGGACCATATGGGGTGCTTGGAATTGAACAAGTGCCCTTTCAGCTCTATTCTTCTGTCCTGAGATTATTAATAAAGTTTTTATTTTAAAAAAAACTTGGGTTACACCCAGGGCTTGGCTTACCTTTGGCTGTGCTTAGGGGTCACTCACTAAGCATTGCTAAGGGGAACAGCAGTGATGGGAATTCAAATTGGAGGTTGGCAGGAGCAAGGCAGGCAACTTAACACCTGTACTCTCCTAGACCCTCTGGTGTTTTGTTTTGGGCCACCTAGTGGTATCCAAGGCCTGACTGTGCTCAGGGATAACTACTGGTGGACTTGGATTGATATGGAGTGCCGGAGTTAGATCTGGGTTGACTGCATGTAAGGCAAATGGCCTACTCACTGCATTGTGGCTCCATCCTTAGGTGTTTTAAATGTTGAGTTCTGGCTAATGCTTCCCCCCACCCTCAACCTTGGGTTGGGTGCTTTGGGAGTTGAGGGACTCCGATTACCTAGGCATTATAATGCCCTACTGTGCTTGCTAACATTTAAAGCACATGGTTTTGAACCTAGGACACAGTGTGAATTTAGTTGTTTGCTCATGGAATTTCTTGGGTTTGAAGTGACTTAAACTTTTTTTTTTGTATTCTGAAGATTATCATCCCTCAGAAAAAAGGCAAGAAGACTGTCGTAACACCAGCAAAGAAGATGATGGTTTCCCCACCCAAAAAAGGTGCAGTGGCCACACCAGCTAAGAAAGCAGTTGTCACTCCTGGCAAAAAGGGAGCAGCTCCTCCACCATCCAAGAAAGCAGCTACGCCAGCCAAAGTAGTAGCAACGCCGGGCAAGAAGGGTGCAACACCAGGCAAAGCCATGGTAGTAGTGTCTGGTAAGAAGGGAGCAGTCCCCCCAGCCAAGGGTGCGAAGAATGGCAAAAATGCTAAGAAAGAAGACAGTGATGATGAGGATGAGGATGACAGTGAAGAAGAGGATGACGAGGAGGATGACGACGAGGAGGAAGATGAAGATGAATTTGAGCCAGCCATGATAAAAACATCAGCTGCTGTTGCCCCTGCCTCAGATGACGATGATGAGGATGATGACGATGAGGAGGATGAAGACGACGATGAAGATGATGAGGATGATGAAGAGGGTAAGTCATTCTTCCATAGTTCTTCGTAAAATGATTTTTGGGCAGTGATATTGATACATCCTTGGGGTTAGATAACCTTTTGGGGTCCAGTTGTGTGTGGTGTACTTTTAGACTTTAAGAACCATGGATTATTGCTGTTAAGAATTCAATTTCTAGGGGCTGGAGCGATAGCACAGCGGGGAGGGCGTTTGCCTTGCACGTGGCCTACCCGGGTTTGATTCCCAGCATCCCATATGGTCCCCTGAGCACCGCCAGGAGTGATTCCTGAGTGCAGAACCAGGAGTAACCCCTGTGCAATCTCCGGGTGTGACCCAAAAGAAAAAAATTAGATTTCTAACTTGAAAAATTAAGAGTTTTGGGGATATGCCCAATGGTACTAAGGCTACTTCTGGTTCCTCTGCTCACGATTACTCCTGCTTGTGGGGACCATATACTGTTCCCAGGGTCAGACTGGGGTCCATTAGGGCAAGTACTTGAGTCTCAAAACTTTTCTGTCTAGCCAGACTTACTACTTTTTAAAAAAACAAGAATTAATGTTGATTTGGCCTCAAAGAATTCTTGGGTGTTTTGCTCTTTTAGACTCAGAAGAAGAACCTATGGAAATTACACCAGCCAAAGGAAAGAAAGCTCCCGTAAAAGCTGCTCCTGTAAAGGCCAAGAATATGGCTGAGGAAGAGGAAGATGAGGATGAGGATGATGATGACGACGATGAAGACGAAGATGAGGAGGATGACGAGGATGATGAGGAAGAGGAGGAAGAGGAAGAGGAGGAAGGTAATTTGATTTTGTGGGAGTTTTGTTAATTGGAGGCACTTAATTGTGAGGATTTGTGAATGACACTTGTTCAAATCTTGTCCAGAGCCTGTTAAACAAGCACCTGGGAAAAGAAAGAAGGAAATGGTCAAGCAGAAAGCAGCTCCTGAAGCCAAGAAACAGAAAGTAGAAGGTAACCTTGGGGACAGGGTGGGGAGTGCTACCTAGTAACAGCACAATGATGAATGATAAAGGGACTTAATGCTGATACTTGATGTCACATTCTTGATATTCTGATGTGCTGGGCTAAAAAAAATTATGTAGTAAAAATTAACTTCCTTTATACTTAGAAATCCATTAGCTTGAATTTTTTTTTCTATTTTGGTATAGGCAATGAACCAACTACAGCTTTCAATCTCTTTGTTGGAAACCTGAACTTTAACAAATCTGCTCCTGAGTTAAAGACTGGTATCAGTGATCTTTTCGCTAAAAATGACCTTGCTGTTGTAGATGTCAGAATTGGTGTATCTAGGTAAGTATAGCAAGTAAGCCTGTAATCTGTTCTGGTAGACTCATACTTGCACACAAAAAATGTAGATCAGAGTTGATAAAGTCTTGACATCTAATGGTAAAATCCCAAAATTGACATTTTCATTATCTAACTAGTTCATAATTTACAAAGAAGTACATATGAGATTTCGTGCTCATTTTTAAATATTCAAAGCTGTTGCCCCTGAGTAGTGGCACTATTTTGAACTTTAGCCAGATAGGATCCTCTGTCTTGATTTACATTTTTGTTCTGCTATTGTCAATTGCCAGGGAGGGATGGAGAGTGAGTACCATGGGTAGGGCGCTTGCTTTGCTCATAGCCGACCTGGGTTCGATGCCAGAACTCCATGTCTCCCAAGCACAAGGAGCAAAAGCTGTTTGTGGCCCAAAGACATTGCCAATGAGCAATTAGCACTGTCTGCACTGTCCTCCCGTTCATCAGTTTGCTCGAGCAGGCACCAGTAACACCTCACAACAAATTGTGAGACTTGTTACTGTTTTTGGCATATTGAATACATCAGGGGGAGCTTGCCAGGCTTTGCGGGTGCGGGTGAGATACTCTCTGTAGTTTGCCAGGCTCTTTCTGAGAGGGGCGAAGAAATCAAACCAGGGTCGATTTATATAAAAATTAAAAAAGTTAACAGATAGTCTCCCCTAACTCCTAGAGCTGGAGCGATAGCAGAGCCGGTGGGCGCCTGCCCTTCACATGGGTGGTGAGGGCTCGATCTCTCACTCCGCATATGGTCCCCCAAGCCAATGAGCAATGTAACTGCTAATCTAATCAAGACCTTAAAGGTCACAGCTTTAATCCCAGTTTTCACAAAACCATAATATTTTGTAATTGAGAGATGTTAGCTTTTTTTAAAACCTTGTTTTTTTCCCCCCCCCCTTATTGCTATAAAGGAAGTTTGGTTATGTGGATTTTGAATCTGCTGAAGACTTGGAAAAAGCCTTGGAACTTACTGGTTTAAAAATGTTTGGTAATGAAATTAAACTAGAAAAACCAAAGGGAAAAGACAGTAAGAAAGGTATGTAAAACTTAGTAACACTGATAAGCTTTGAAACCTTCCTTTTTTCTAATAGTCAAGGATTGTGAGTCTGAATATTTAAGTGTTCAATACAATGCCTAATAGATCAGGGATCTGGACTGCCCCTTGGAGTAAGTAGATCTAGATCCTAACCTTTTCCTCCGCACTTCTACACATCTCAAATTGTGTTTGCAGCTGGAGGTACAGCCCAAAAGCCTAGTGTACATGTTTTGCATGCGGGAGCCCCACATTTAATTATTTCCACACTGTCCTCCAGAATTGGCATGTTTGCCATGCCTGAACTCCCTCCCATATGTACAGATTATCTGGTGTGTTCAGTTTGATGGCAAATGTGACTTAGGTCTTTTGCCTCTATTGAAGCTCCATACTTGGTTGAGGTTCTTGGGGGCCAGAACAGTAGGTAGAGTGCTTGCTTTTGCAAGTGGCCAACCCGGGTTTCATTACCTGGTACCCCATAATCACTTGAGCACCCCTGGATGTGGTCCAATAAAAGAACATAATAAACTTGGTTTTAATTTGGGAACTGCACCCAGCTTGGTGTTGGTGGGGTAGGATTGCTTTTAAGCAGTGCTTTAAGGGAACTGGGTTGTGCTGGTAATGAACTGATCCCCGGCCTCCTGCATATACAACCTGTGTGAAACCTCCATGAAGTGCATCTAGGTCCCTCCCTCCGTAGGAAACATTGTCAGTCGCTTTTGCTTAGATTTTGTGTGAGGGGGTCTTGTGTGTCATCAAGTTTTCTTGTTTCCTACATAGATCGAGACGCAAGAACACTTCTGGCTAAAAATCTGCCTTACAAAGTTACTCAGGATGAATTAAAGGAAATTTTTGAAGATGCTATGGAGATCAGATTAGTCAGCAAAGATGGGAAGAGTAAGGGGTATGTATATGTTGACTTATCAAAAGAATGTACTTCCAGAGTTTAATTATGGTGATTGTATTTTCTAAGATTTGGACAGATTGAGAGTTGGACAATTTTTTGTGGAGTGATTTTGAAAGCTGACTTGTATAAAACAATTGTGGTGTGGCTCATTGCAGTGTAACAGCATTTTAGTAATAGCCCTTGTAAGTTAGAAATAGCCAGAGTGATAGTACCATGGGAAGTGTTTGCACACAGCTGACCTGGCTTCTATTCCTGCTGGCCCATATGATTACCCCAGCCATCCCTAAGCATAGAGCCAGGAGTAAGCCCTGAGCAATGCTAGGTATGGCTGCAAAACAAAACCAAAAGAATTGGGTGTGGGGGGCATTGGGCCACACCTGGTGATGCTGTGTATGCACTTGGGAATTATTCCTTGTGACCTTATGCAGTGTTCGAGAACAGACCTGGACCTTGTCACAAGCAAAGCGGACACCCTACCCATTCTACTTTTGCTCTAGCCCAGATATTGTGACCACATTGTGATGAGGTAGAATTACCAAGAAGAGATTATCTTTATGTGGACTTTGTAATACTAGAGGAAATGGTTTAATTGAAATCCTTGAACCTTACAGTTTGAATAAGCCAGGGATAGAGAGATAGTGTAGAGGTTGAGATGGCTATGCTTGCCTTAACATGTAGCTAGGCACACTGTGATCCCTAAACTGTCCCCTAGCACCTCCAGAAGTGATCCTTGAGCTCAGCTCAGTGTGGCTAAAAAGACAATAATTAAAAAGGCTATTTTTTCTAATTTTGGAAGTGGGGTGGGGGCTTTTGGGTTACCGGATGGTACGGAAGAGTTACTCCTGGCTTTGCATTCAGGAATCACTCTTGGTGCTTGGGATACCATACGAAATGCTGGGGATTGAATCATGTTGACTGTGTAAGGCAAACAACCAACCTGCTTTATTCTGGTCCCTCGGTTCTCTTCAGCCAAAACAAGGGTCCATTGCCAGATAGCATTTTTTAAAAAATTTTTTATTAGTGAAGAATTTGTGTTTTGATAGTTTTAAAAGTCATTAATTCCCTTTTTCTCTGTTGCAGGATTGCTTACATTGAATTTAAAACAGAAGCTGATGCAGAGAAAACATTAGAAGAAAAACAGGGAACAGAGATAGATGGACGGTCCATTTCCCTCTACTATACTGGAGAAAAGGGTCAAAATCAGGACTACAGAGGTGGAAAGAATAGCACTTGGAGTGGTAAGGCCTTCATACAGGTCCTGCAGCGTTCTCACTGATGGAAGTTCCCCTGATAGCTTGGTGCCTTTTTTTTCTTTTGGGGCCACACCTTAGTGGTGCTTAGCGCTGACACGGCAGTTACTCCTGGAAGACTGGGAGGTTCTACGGGTTGCCGGGATGGAATCTGGATAGGCTGCGAGGAAGGCTAGCACCCTTCCTGCCTGCTGCGCTGTTTCAGCCCAGGCTTTGTGCTTTTGTATATCTAGTAATTGAAAGTAGATACCGATCAAGTTATACCTCTACTTGACAGTAGTACCTCAGTATCTTAAATAAATTATGTGAATCATTTGCATTACAACATTGATAAAAACTTTCCTCTGTAAGTTTTTGTATTTAAGTTGGGGGGAATGCAAAGAGAATATTCAGCTGGTAAAGTGCTTGATTTTTCATGCAGCCAACCCAGGCACTGCCAGAAGTAAGCCGTGACTGTCATTGGCAGTTAAATATTTTTGTACATAGACCAGAGAACTGGAAAGAAGCAGAGCTTGTGGTAGGATACTCGGCAGCAGTGGCATTTGATACTAGCTTGTTAATTAAGATTTTAAGAACAGGATCTATCTGTGATTGAAGTTTGAACCACACTTGAGTCTCAGGGTGTTTTCTTTTTCTATAGGTGAGTCCAAAACCCTGGTTTTAAGCAACCTTTCCTACAGTGCAACAGAAGAAACTCTTCAAGAAGTATTTGAGAAGGCAACTTTCATCAAAGTGCCCCAAAACCAAAATGGCAAATCTAAAGGGTAAAAGAATCAAAATATTTAAATTATTAAGGCCTGTATGAGCGCTTTGCATAGACCTAAAAAAGTAAAATCCCTTTTTCCTGAATGTTGGTGTAAGCCAAATTGTTTCAATCAGTATAAGGTAAAACTTGTTTGACATGGTTGTCTTGATCTCAGAACATTTGGTGGCATGGGGTAGGAGACCTGTGATGTTTGTGCTTGGTGACATTCTAAATGTTGGTTTCATTTTCAGGTATGCATTCATAGAATTTGCCTCATTTGAAGATGCTAAGGAAGCTTTAAATTCATGTAATAAAAGAGAAATTGAGGGCAGAGCAATCAGGCTGGAGTTGCAAGGACCCAGGGGATCACCCAATGCAAGAAGCCGTAAGTTGCTGTTACAGGGTATTTGACCTCTTTTCCTCCACCCCCCAACTTGACAAATCATACTGGAAATGATGATTGATTATCTGAGAAATAATTGATGAAATATCAAGAAAAATTCCTCTAGATAGTCAAGTTCTGATCCAGTTCTTTGTCAGTTTCAAGGAGCTTTGTCCATGGTTTGCTGCCCTTTTTTTGTTTTTTTAACACCAACATCTGCATGTTCATGTGTGTGAGTGGTGGCTCACACAAATACTTTGGTGCCCTCATGTTAAATGACAGACAGACTTCTGCTCACCGAGCTTGAGGCAGGAGTGCTTTTTGGGTCACACCCAGCAATGCTTGGGTTACTCCTCTTGCCTCCACACTTTGAAATTTCTCCCGGTGGTGCTCAGGGGTCCCTATGAGATGTTGGAGCCCTACCTGCTGTACTCTTCCCTTTTCTGGCCTTCAGTGAGCGTTCTTGGCCAGTAGTTAGGACTTGCAAAATGAGCATGGGGTCATTACGAAATGTGATCTTAAAAGACTTTTTTCCCCCTACAGAGCCATCCAAAACATTGTTTGTCAAAGGTTTATCTGAGGAAACCACAGAGGAAACGTTGAAAGAGTCGTTTGATGGCTCCGTTAGGGCAAGGATAGTCACTGACCGGGAGACTGGCTCCTCTAAAGGGTAAGACGAGGGGAGCTTCCTGGGCACAGTGGAGGCCTGTCTGAACCGAATGTCTTCTCATTGAGCTCCTTTCTGTCAGCTGGTGACAGTTTATGGATTCGCACGAGAAGAAGAGACAATTCACAGAGCTGGCATGCGTTGGCTTCCATCTTGGAGGCACAATTTGCTGTTCTGTGAGACAGGCATTCAAATGATCCAATAAGAAGTTCAACTTTTTATGGAGTTGGTCACTTGGATCTTTTCTCGGTTAAGACTTTCTGTGAGAATCACTAGACCATGCAGCTAAGTTTGGCACTTGGCTCAGCAGGTACTTGGGTTGCTAATTGGGGAATTCCGTTTGGTTTAGGTTCGGCTTTGTAGATTTCAACAGTGAGGAAGATGCCAAAGCTGCCAAGGAGGCCATGGAAGATGGAGAGATTGATGGAAACAAAGTTACTTTGGACTGGGCCAAGCCTAAGGGTGAAGGTGGTTTTGGTGGTCGAGGTGGAGGTCGAGGTGGCTTTGGCGGCCGAGGTGGTGGCAGAGGAGGTCGAGGTGGATTTGGCGGCAGAGGAGGTCGAGGAGGTTTTGGAGGTAAGAACGGGCAGTTCCGCAGTCATTGCCACATGCACCACCAGGGCCAGGGTTCCCACAGACATGCTTTTGGATTGTCCCGTCCTCCTGGGGCCAGGAGAGTTTAGGACAGCTTTAGGTCCCTCCTAGGTCCTTCCTTCGCCCATTTTATTTGAATACCATGGTTTACAAAGCTGTTTGTGATTTGTTCTGGGCATTCAACATTCCAACACCATTCCTTCCATCGTCACCTCCCCCATCGTTGTCCCCATTGTCCCAACCACCCCTCAAGCTGGCCCCCATAGTAGGTCCGCAGTGTTTTACATTGATTGGTTGTTACCATTACATGGTTAATAGAACCATTGAAAAATTATTCTGTAGAGCAGATTTTGTGGAAATGAGTGTCCTTCTTGAACAGTACCTTCATTATTTGCAGGCCGAGGAGGCTTCCGAGGAGGCAGAGGAGGCGGCGGAGATCACAAGCCACAAGGAAAGAAGACGAAATTTGAATAGATTATTCTATCCCTCATTTTTTTCCTTCCATTTGAAAGGACTCTGAGGTTTTTACTCTGTTACCTGATCAATGACAGAGCCTTCCGAGGACATTCCAAGACAGTATACAGTCCTGTGGTCTACTTGGAAATCGGTATAGATAACATTTCAAGGGAGAATACTGTTGGTTTTGACTGGATATTCGTATAAACTTTTTAAAGAGATGAGTGATAGAGCTAACCCTTATCTGTAAGTTTTGAATTTATATTGTTTCTTCCCATGTACAAAACCATTTTTTCCTACAAATAGTTGTTTTTTGTTTTGTGTTTGGGGGTGTAAAGGAAAGCAGAATGTTTTATGTTTTTTTGCTTCAGCTACTACTTTGGGACAAATTAAAAGTCCTGAACTCTGGTGCCAGACTTGTACTTACTAGTTGGTAGGGGGTGGAGCATTGGCAAGGCCAACTCCATCGCATCCAGGTCCGCCTACTCTTAACAGCCGTGCTTGATGCTTTGAGTTCAAGTATTCTGGCTGGAAGATTTGGTGCAGTGATCAGTGAGCGGAACCACTTGAGCCCTGTGTGTGCTGCTGCTGGGCCGTGTGTTGTTGGAAGTGTGCTGTGGCTGACACCACTCGCACCGGGCCTGAAGATGAAGTGTCCTGCAGCGGTGCCTCTGGAACGGAAGGCAAGAGCACTTGGTCAGTTTCTGTAGACAACGAGCAGCCAAGGGCGTGAGTCTGGATCTGGAATTGACAGTGGTGGCTAGCGTTCACGCGGTGGGAATGGACCAGTGGAGGCTGTGGACTGTGACGTCTTCCCACCTCAGCTGAACTTGACCCGGTGTATTAAGTTTAGCTCTAGGAATAATAAAAGGGGAACTGGTGATGAGCGTCTCCCTTTCCCCTGACCCCTTTCCAACAGGGTAAAGGCTAGGCGATCTAAGGTGAGGCATTTTTGATGCAATGTAGGACCCCCCCCTACCCACCCATCACTGTAGAAAAGTTTTTCTGGGTTTGTTTTCTGGCCATACCTCACCACCACTTCCTGCAGTGTTGGGGGGTAATGGTGGTGCCAGGGATGGAGCCCAGGTCCCATCTTGCCAAATAAGATTTCCAGCCCTTTAAGCAATATTACCTTAAGATTCAAGCCCGAATCCCTGCGTCTTAATGCTTATTGCCATCTAACTAGTGGAAATAACAAAAGTACTGGTATTCCCAAAAAAGGTGACTTAGACTGAACTTAACACTGAGACCTGCCTTGAATCAGAATCCCTGGCACTGTCAAGATTGTTACTATTTGCAGGGTGGTGAGTCCTAAATTACTTCTCGTGGAATTGGATTTAGACTTAACTCCTTTCTCTTTAAGTCTTGAGGGACCTGTGCATTGGGTCTTTGGGAAATCCTAGAACCTTGTGCTAAGTGGTACTATCTCCCTTGGCTGCTGCTCGACTGCTGGTCTGTGTGATAAGCTGTCTGGGAACATGAGTTAGGAATGCTCCAGTCTGACCCTAGAGCAGCTGGAGGGGGAGGAAGACTTGCATGGAGGAGTTGACATACAGGACTTTGGGTTCTTTGTAGAGCAACGCTCTGGTGGAAAATTTAGAGTGTGAACTGACTTGCCATGTAAATAAGCTCATTCCGGAAAAGTATTTGGTTCTTGGCACTCACAGTGTACTAGATGTGCCACAGCTGCAGTCTAGAAGCCTACAGAGCAGTTCTTGGTCAATTTTGTGATTTCCTGTGCAGTGACCACGAACCTTGGGTGGGGGTTACCCTGCTGTAGGGCCAGAGGGGCCCTCGGGATTGCATTTCGGAATTAGTTGTGCCAGCATCTTGAACTTGTGCTTTCTCTGTGGCTTATACCAGAATTCTGGAGGCGGAATCTTGGAGCCATTTTAGAGAATCCAGTTCCATTTAGCAAGTGCTACTGTTCCTGTCAGCCAGCAGGTGGCAGCACATCTGCAGGGATGTGAAAACAGCTGCTTGCGATACAGAGGAAACCTTAAGATTAATGGAATGCTTAGTACAGGGTGTAAGGTGCTTGCTTGTCTCACAGGCCCAGGTTCCACCCGCAGCCCTGCATAGCGTGCTCTGGGCAGCTCCAGAGTATTCAGCATGAACAATGGAATCTAGAGGAGACTCCGATTCAGGCCTCGTGTGAAAGTTGTCTTGAGTCTTCTCCAGGAACTCATTACCCACATTTCATTCCCTAACATCCTTGGCATCTTTTCCCTTCAGTAGGTGTGGCAAAGTGCCCTGCTGTTCTTTTTTCCCTTCCTTGTCAAACTGAGAAGGGCTCCCCACCTGTCTCCCACTCTGAGCCGGACTGAACTGCTGCTTGTGGAAATCAAGCCCTGTGTCCCTCAGTTCATTTCCGCATAGCTGAGCCCCTCATATCTGCTTGGAAATCGCTTTAATCTTAAGATCTGGGCAGACTTCGGGGTGGGGGGCAGCTCCAGCACTTGTCTGGGGGGACTGGAAAATGGAGAACTTAACTTGAGGGTAAGATAGATGCCTTAATCTTTTGCAACCTGTGTGGACCACTACCAGAATGTGGCTGGAACGCCCTTCCCCCATCAACAGAAGTGCTGGTCGATGAGGACTATCCACCTTATGTCAGAGGCCTCCAGGGAGATGGTCCCTCAACATGGGAACATGTGAAGAAGCTTGCCTTTGCCCTTTGGTCCACACAGGTCTCAAGTAGTGCCTGACACATACATAGGTGCTTACTGCACTCTCAACCACAGCGAACACTGTGGTGCCAGCAAGAAGTTAACCTCAGGACAAGTTTGACTTAGCAGTGCCAAAATACTAGAAACTTCATTTGAGTGGTTGGGGCTTGGGCAGAGGCTACTCCTGGATATGCTTAGGGTCATATGCAAGGATCAAACCGTGGTCACCAGGTGCAAGGGCAAGTATTTGAAACCCTGTGGTATCTGGCCGGTAACATTGTTAAGGAAGCCCAATGGTAATAATTGATTTATTAAAATGTGCACAACTTGGGCTGGAGTCTAGAGAGTGGGTGGCATGCTTGTCTTCACACTGAATCTGGGTTTTTTTTTTTAAATAGACATCATGAGGTACAGTTGCAGACTTACACAATTTTGTGCTTGGGTTTCAATTATACGATGATCAAATACCCATCCCTCCACCAGTGCCCATTTGAATCTGGGTTTAATTCCCATTGCTCTATATGGCCAGGAGTGACCCCTTATCATTACTGGTTGTGGACCAAAAACCAAAATGTATGTTTTAAAAGATGTGTGCATTTCCATTTGAAAAAATTAAACTTGAAGAAGGTCCAGAGATGGTACAGAACCCTGGGCCATTCTTCCTCAGCACCACGTGAACCCCTCGGTAAGCTGGTGTATCCCCCATTCCCACCAGTTTTTTAAAACAGTTTAAGAAAATGGGTGGGACATTAATTTCAGATGAACCCAAAGATCCTTGAAAGATGGTAAGGATATAGCTAAGATCCATGCTTGGTATCCTTTTGCCTGTGAGGTCACCCCAGATTGCTACGGTTCCTTAGAAAGTTCACACAAAGCATCTTAACTGTTTTACTTTTTTTTTTTTTTTTTTTTTTTTTGCTTTTTGGGTTATACCCGGTGATGCACAGGGGTTACTCCTGGTTCATGCACTCAGGAATTACTCCTGGCCGAGTTTGGGGACCAAATGCGGTGCTGGGACTCGAACCCAGGTTGACTGCAAGGCAAATGCCCTACCCGCTGTACTATTGCTCCACCCCAACTTTTTTTTTTTCCTTTGGAAATGAAGACTTGGAGAAAGCCATGAAGTCCTCCTGATTGGCTGATTTTTATTGTGCAGGTCAAGAAAACCAGGAGCAAAGGCAGGCTGGAGAGTTCAGGAATAGGGCTTTTGCGATCCATGTAGCCCACCTAAATTTGATCTCTGACACCACACACGGTCTATCCACTGCCAGGAGTAACCCCTGAGCACTGGGGATGCAGTCCTCACCACATACCAAAAAAGCCAGGTAAGAAGGCTACCCAGAGACCACAGCAACCCTGACCCTAGAGGTGGTTCTTGTAACAAAGAAGCATCAGCCACAGCCTTGGCCTATGGCCGCCTCAGCAAAGCAATAAAGTAGTCCACTAGTAAATCCGAGGTCTGTTGTATGACTAAATTTTTGTGGGCGCCTGAGGATATCCTGGTATTTCATGGCCCCTAAGTACTACCAGGAGTCATCCCCAAACTGGTGTGGGCCAAAAAATAGATAATAAAGCATCAAGATGTCAAGAAAACTATTGGAATTTGCATGTATAGATTTTAATGTATGGGAAAGGAGCAAGTTGATTTTAAAATGAATTTTGGAGACCAGAGTTGATAGTGCAAGGGGGAGTGTTTACCTTGCATGTGGCCAACCTGGCTTCAATTCCTGTCATCCCATATGGTTCCCCAAGCACCGCCAGGGGTAATTCCTGAGTGCAGAGTCAGGAGTAACACCTGAGCGTTACAGGGTGTGCCCCCAAAATGCCAAAAAAAATATTGGTAAGTTATTTTGCACCTGCTGAGGGGCGGGCTTGGGTGGCTGTGAAACTGGTTCAGTGGTGGAAGGGAAGTCACTCTGGTGATGGGATCAGTGTTGGAACATTGCATGCCCAAAACAACTGTTAGGAACGGCTTTATGAACCATGGTGTTTAAAAAAATTTTTTTAAGAATCTGGGGCTGGAGAGTATGGTGGGTAAAGCCCTCATCTTCCATGACAAGAGTTGGATTTGATTTCTGGCTTCCCATCTGGCTTCCGAGCACCCCCAGGAGAAATTCCTGAGTGCAGAGCCAGGAATTGCCCTTAAGCATTGCCAGCTGTGGCCCAAAAATCAAATAAAATGGAGATTTTCTCTAATCTAAAGAAAGAACCAGGGGTTGGAGAGATAGCACAGCAGGTAGGCGTTTGCCTTGCACGTGGCCAACCCGAGTTCAATTCCCAGCATCCCATATGGTTCCCCAAGCACTGCCAGGAGTAATTCCTGAGTGCATGAGCCATGAGTTACCCCCTGTGCATCTCCAGGTGTGACCCAAAAAGCAAGAAAAAATTAAAACCAAGTAATCCTAGGATTGGACTGAAAATGAGTTAAGGTACTTACCTTGCAAGTGACTGTGTTTAAAAAAGTCAACTTATTTTTAATATTTAAAAATATATTGTAAAAATATAAAAGAGAGTGCCATTTTATTAGGTAGCAACTTGTTTTAAGGTAGTGTTTTGGGCTGGAGAGCTGGTACAGCGGCTGTTGCGGCCAACCCATGTTTGGTCCTTGGCATCCTACATGGTTCTCCAAGTCCCACCAGGAGTGAACCCTGAACACTGCTACGTGTGGTCCGTTCCTCTACCCTGTCCTAAAGTAGACTAGAACTGGGACAGCAGAGAGAAGCTGCAGTGGGTAGAGTG